AAACCTTGGATCAAGGGCTCCACCACAAAGCCACCTTTCATTAGATCGCGCGGGGCGTGGCAGCAACGCAACTCTGAACAATGTGCTTCTGCAAGCTAACAAACATCGCCACCGCCATGTTCTTGTTCTGCGGACATTTTGAAGCGTGGTGACATGCTAGACATGCGCTACACACGTGCAAAGCTGACAACACTACAAGCAAGCCATGTGGGGCAAATACTGGAAATCTGGTGTTTGTTTTTGGGCATAAGCTGGAGCCTTTCATGTTCGTGCTAGACTCAACGTAGACATATGCTGGAAGTAACATATGCTAGGATGTTAATCGATTTGTTACGTTTCCACTCTATGCATGTTGGGCTAAAGCGATATGCTAAGTATAGACGACAAACTGCTGTATCATGTTTTACACATCCAGAAAGCCGCGCAGAACATATACGTCATACATATACAGCTGTTCTCAGCCAGCCAAAGCAGACAAGTGCAGCATGTTACGTGCCGAGTAAGAAGCCCGCCATGCTCGCTGCGATTGCCGAAGCTCCGCTCAGGGATCGATGGTCGGGGCCGGGGCCGCAGCGCGAGCGGAGACATTGGATCTCAGTTCCCAGAATTGGGGTCAAGAGTATGGGATTTGTTCGGAACCCTCGTGAGACTTGATGCTACCAAACGTCAATAGAGGTCCCGTAGTTTCGACAACGATTTGTTGTGCTGTTTTGCAACCCCCTGTTTAAGGCGAGTTGTAGGATCGTTTGGCACGCAAAGCGAAAACTGAAGCGACGGTATGAGGGAGGCTGGCGCTAGCGTTGGTTACACAAGGTTCACCTAGTATTCTCAAACACGTGAGGGTACGTTAGTTGATTTCCGCCCTGTTGTAGCTTCTCTGCATCCATGGGCAGCAGGTGCGCATTCATTCAAAACATGCAACGATTCGCATCAACTACTGGCCATTCGAGCCAAACACATTGATTTAAGTGGACCACAAAGGACGGGAGACCGCCGACCACGGACAGGTGCCCTATTGTGACGAAAGGGTCAGCGTTCTTCGCATTCCCAACTTTTGGTCAAAGGGCGACGCAAACCGAGCACAGAGGAAAACAGCTTGCTGGAAGAACTCATCCCGATATCCTTCTCGGGTAAGCGAGTGCAGGGGAGCCCCTATTCTCCAGAAGATTAACATGCCTAAAAAGCCATCGTAGTCTCCTCTTGGGCGACCCCCTTGTGGGTTCCTTACGTTATATAACTTGAGGTCAGATTCACAACTTTCTCCTCAAGGAGACCAAGGTGCATGGACAATTCACATCTTTTTGAAGCCCCCCTGTTTAGCGTCCAATCCTGAAATTCCGACGAAAGCCCCACAACTCGCCCGCGCGAGGTCCTCAAAGGGTTGGCCACGGACTCAAGATGGGCACTGCGAAGGCTGAATGCATATGTCCATGTTATCTATATATCTACACATACATATATAATATATATATATATATATATACAATGTATATATATATATACGTATTATTTCGTATGATAAGCGTATGGCTAGAAACGCCGGCTTGCACATTACCAGTTTCTTTGACGTTTGCCAAGCAAGAAGCCAAAGCGGGATGGTTTATTTTTTCCAGGCCCTCGATTTACCACCCGGAACGCCTTCCGCACATGCGAGTGTCTCAAGTACTGGAAGCCCCTTCCGCTGGGGAAGGATACCCGTCTAACATGGGACCAAGCTGGCGGGTGGAAAGCCATGGTCGTGGGACCTTCGGGTTGGGAGAAACCTGCATTTGGGTGTCAAAAACACGACACCACAGCAATGCGAGCTTCGCTTTGGTTTTCCTTACGAACTTCAAGCAGGCAGATTCCATTTGGGATGCTGCGTTTGAGAAGCTGATCAGTGGTTTTCCCCAATTTTCCGGAAGGAAAGATCATGTCTGATACATATGCGTGTTGTTTGGAACGCATGTGGGTGTGTCCTTTTACGGACCACCAAAATTGTATTTTTCTGTGTGGTTTTGGCAAAAAAGAAGCACCCTCGAAACACAACACACCCTTGGTGTTCACCTTTCAGGAATCTGACTAGAAATGGAGCAAGGTTGCCCATGCCTGTGGGTCGGCCTCCTCAGTTCCACTTTAGATACCTACCCAACATGCACGTGGCATAAGGGCAAGTCCCCCCCCATTGCTGAAGGTATCGTTGGTCCGTTGCACAAGTGAACAGGAATTTGATCACACACCAACTCCGCGCTCAAGGCAGAACTCCGCTGGCCAAGACACCAGCCACTGTTTTCTTTGTGGGCTACTAAGAGTGCGAGATGACCAGCCAAACTACAAATCCACTGGAATCAAAAGACAAGCCACACGCTGACAACATCCACGAAAACCGACTGCACCTGCACATGCATATGCAGGCCGAGACAGACACAGGTGACAAGCAAAGCAGCCAGCAGTATTTTGCCAGAGCCAGGAAAGGCGGCAAGCTGGCCAGATAGCAAGCACGGGCATGTCAAGACGTCTCGAGACTTGGCTCAGCGATTGGGGTTAGCGGGGTTCATTGTTCATTGTTTGATGGTTTGCCAGCAATTTGCACTGGAAGAACTTAGTTGTGCGGGGGGAGAATCCTGGTCCAGCCAAGGTACTAGACCAAGATGCATGTTCCGAGGCTTGTCAAGCGGCATTTGTTCTTTCATGGCTTCTCCAAATCCAATCCGCTGTTGGGGGGATTTCACCCCAAACTACCAAAGGTGACAAAAGGAGCATCCTCTACTTGGAGTTATTAAACCTTGGCCACTGGTTGGTGGCAGCACGCAAGAAAAGGCTTCAGTTTACACAGCCTGCCCCAGCCACTTGGATCAGAAGAAAGCCAAAAGCGGCTAAGGCTACGGATCCTGGGGATCGGGGTCTTCGGCTTGGCCTTCTTGCTGATCTTCATCCTCATCCTGGGAGGCCATGCGGATGCGAAACCAGCAATGACTTTTGAATAAGAAAGTTCGCATTCAGATCTATGGCGTCAAAAGGAGCGTTAGTCCGTTCATTTTGCGTGCAAGCATGAAGAGTGAACCTCCGCGCTTGTTTGTATCAAAGCTAGGGTGTCTGCTTTGTTTGGTTTAAGCCTGTTTTGACCTCCGGCAAATTGAGGGACTTGGCCGGCCCAGAGGGTCACTTGATCCTTCGCGCTGGTTCACGGGACGCCCGAATGTTCTTCCTCACCTTGTTTGCTGTTTAAGAGAAGGCGGTGCCTAATCATTCATTTTGGCCATGTTGAGCATCACATTTACAGCTTAGAGGATCCTCTTGCGACACAATTGAGTCTGAAACGTATCTGTTGGGGAACTCTGTTAAATGAACTTCGTTGTGGGACCCATGATGTTTGAAGGCGACACATTTTGGAGCCCGTTTCGCGGCAATGGGGTTCCACCAGCCTAAGGCCTCAGGAGGCTTACTGGGATTTGTGACAAAGTCACCCATGAAGGCTCCGATTTATTGGGTCCGTTTCTAGGTGAGTTATTCTGGCCCAGGACGCTCGATTCAATGTGTTCCAGGTCCAGGGGGGTCACCTCGAGCTTCGCTCTTTTTTGGGTCTGTGGGGGAATCAAAGTTACCAACTGGGGGGCGGCTTTGATGCCAAGGCAACGAGGCCAGTCCTTTTGTGGGCTGCAAAGAGGGCGCTTACCTGTTCAATAGTGTGGTTTTGTCCTCGTGCCGGCCTGTTTCTGTCGACTTTCCCAGTGAACCAAGAGTTTTGCAAGAGGAAAGACGAACCAATGCAAAAAATGGTACACCTTTTGAAGTGGCTGGGGGTTTCTTCCTTGGGTCCTGTGGATCAGGAGATAAGCGCCAGCTTGCCAAACACCTGGGCCCCTGGCTTGAGGCGGCTATGTGCCCAGCTGGCTCCGCCCGCTTCTGCAAGCCTTGGACTTCTGAGGTAAAAGGGCGCCGCCTGCCATGGAGGGGTGTTTTCGCTTCCAAGGACTTCATCTTCGAAGCGGGTGAATTGCCCATGTGGGTGGCTCGTCTTTCTTTTGGGGACCCCCATAATAGTCTCATTGTCCTTTTGGTTTCCCACTACCATGAAAAGAGCTGCCAGAACAAAAAGACACACCCATATGACCCATATGTAGTTTGCCTTTACACTGATTCTTCCAACTACCTATTCACTCAACACGTGTCAACAAGTGAAGAGAAGTCATGCAACAGCAGAGCCCCGTGCCTCGACGACATGACAATTTAGTGATTTCCTGCCCCTTTGCACACGGCGCTTTTCCCTGACGACAGCACCGTCCCGCACATGACTGTTTTTAGTTGCGAATTGCGGAAAAGCCGAGGGCCCTCGGCTTTTTGGATGTCGATTTTTGCGTAAGTGCAGCGACTTTGAATGGAATTCGGGTTGGGGGCTGATCCCTGCAGCTTCATAGTTTTGTTGCCGCTGTGGGATAGGTTGTGAGCTGTGGAGCTTCCGGGATTTGACGTGCCAACTTTTTGGGGAGACCTTTGGAGCTACTTGGAACGAAAGGTTCAAGAGAGGGCCCGTTGGCCCCGAACCACTGCCCCAAGTAAAGCAGAACACGACTGGCTAGTCGCTATGTAGACATTGTTTGATATGATTGTTTGCTTATGCACATGTATATTGTGTGTATGTACATATATATATATACACACTTCTTTATTTATGCGACCATTTGGTGTATGTTTCTGGGGGTAGCAGTGATGGTTACATCCCACGTGTCCAATAGCAGATTCCTTTTTGCCGCCTGTTCGCTTCTTTGCGTCTCGCTCTTCTCTCGGCTGCAGGGTAACAGCCCTCGGACAAGATGCACCCTCCTCCGACACGCTTAAGGAGAAAGGATACTCGGTGCTTTGTACTGGTTGCAACCCTCTTACACGTGTTACAAGTCCTTGTTCAGTGGCAACAATATTCACAATTACCATCAGCTGCTCACTACCTGATCGCCTTAAGCAGGGGCAGAGAGAGAGAGACCAGACACAACTCACTTCAGCAACCCAACCAGACCTTACCCGAAAGAGCTCGGATTTGGGCAACTGTGAACCCAAAACTCCGCGGTGCCTTCGGCGCCCACTGAAGAAAAGGCGTCAGGCCGGTGGGTGCAGACCCGGTTTTGATCGCAAAGGGTGTGTGGGTGTGTGTGTGTGTATTGTTCTAAAAGGGCAACAGTTGTGGCTTTCTTTTCTTCAAGTTTGCCGTGTGGTGGCTCTTCAAGCAAATGGAAAGGGACTTTGCACAAGGTTTTATTCCCTGAGAACCTACATTCCCCTCCCACAAACTTGTTTTCTGCATTTTGGGAGGCCCCCTCTTTACAACCAACTACCCCAAAAATCAAGGTCCCGTGTTTGCGCGTGGAGTTTTGTTGAGTGACGTAGAATTCGTTCCCGTGCCTGGTTTACCCCAGAAGGCGGGATATAGTATTCATCCCTTTCGACAGAGGATTTGCCTTTTCAAAGCATCGGTTGCACTTCCCTACCACGAGCACAACCTGACCAAGGGCCTGTTTGAAAGGAGCAAGGCTTGACTCAGATTCCATGTTTCTGCGAAGGGAGGATGCTTAGATGGTCCGCGAGTGGTCTCAATAGTTAGCAAGATGAACTCAGGGTACACACGAACGTTCTTGGAACAGACATTTCCTCTCTGGGGTCAGTGGTAACCCTTACTCACGAAAGCTAGCTGAGCTTCCCACCATGCTTGGCGGGGGGAGGGAGGGGGCTAAACAGCTGCATTGCATGAACGGCTCAATCGCATGAACAGATCTTTGCTCGGGGCCCCCTCCCCCTCTCGAGGGGTTCGCCCCTCGAAGGGATTGATTCTCCCCTGGCCCACCCCCGCAAGCAGCATATTCACATAATCGCTTTCACATGTTTGCAGCTGGGCAATCTGTCTTATTAGGACCCGATCCAAGTTTGGGTTTTAATAACTTAATGTTCCTTTAGAATTTACTATTCTTAATATTTTGGCAACCCTTGGATTGTACATGTCGTTGGGCTGGCAAGCTTTCGTTCACCCTCAAGTTGCTGGTTTGGATTGGTGGCTTGGGGGGGGGGGGCGGGTTGCACCCCTAGTTCTTGTTAAAACTGAGTGGGAAGAGGGTTGTGTCTAAAACCTCCCAGCTTAATTTCGCGCTTCGCACATCTCTTGAGGACAAAACGTGTTCTCCTTCCCCCCCAGATTTTGTCTCGCGGTTCTTCCCCTGCACTTACACATGGAACCTGAAAAGCCATCCTTTGTGGGTGGACCCCTAGTTCAGGTTCCTTCCGTAAATTTATGGACTATACAGAGCCCAGTGCAACCATGGGGCAGGCATGACAAAGCAGAAGCGGCCCAAATATGAGACAGTGCAGTGCGCCCAGCAGCTCTTGTCAAACTAACCGACGGCCAAGGATTTGTCAAGTTCTGACTGACAACTTACTTGCTGAAATCAAGGGAGACCAAATCGGGCATGAGTGCCCATCCACTGCTAGGGGCAAAGTGCAACGCCCAATGTTGACCCCCCACAGAAAAAAGGTCGATTGTCGTGGTGGGGGTCCCGTATCATGGGAGATCTCGCTCTGCTCACTGCAGGTGTTTGTCAGATGTCATGCCATAGTGACTCAGAAGGCTCTCCAAACAGTTTTGTGGGTCAAGAAAATGTTGCAGCAAACCAACCATTTCAGAATCAGGCTTGCCCAAGCAACCTTCTGGTGGCCACTGCTTGGTGTTGCTTGAGTCTTGCGCTGGCCCTGTGCTGTTGAACATTTTAGCTAATAACTGGGAACCAGCTTGTCACCGACATCCAAGCGAAGGCAGGCAAAACCATGATGCACAAGTAAGCACGCTCTCTCCCACTGGCATCTGACAGGGGTCCCTTCAAGAGGACTTTGATCTTTCAGGCATCCCAATTTTCTATGTCAGGCGTAACTAGGACTCCTTCCGCCAACTGAGGCAGATTTACCTTGGACACACAAACCCTTACCCAAAACCAAGCCCGAACTTCTGGGGAACGTCCTTTGTTTCCGTTAGACTTGATAGACTTTGCAGATGGGCTGTTCTCCGCTTGTTCTTCCGGTAGCAACATTGAACCCCTAATTTCTCCTCAGGTTGTGGTGTCTCACTTTCCCAGTTTCCGTTCTTTGTTTCAAAGAACTGTTTGGGAAGTACATGTCAGTGGAAAACAACAAGTTGAGACATGTGCGTGGCCAATCACGCAGCATGGCTGCCAGAATCCAGACACGTCATTGTTACTTGGAGCTAGTGGTCCACTCGTTTTCCAGGTACACGCCGCCCACGCCGCAAGTCTTTGGCAGCGCGGTGCCAGATGACCTCCCCACGCCACGGCCCCAGAGTGGACAAGGTAAAGCCAAAGGCAAAGCGCAAACCACGGATTTGTGTGAGAGGGGATGCAGCCAAGCAGCCTTGCCACAGGCTGGAAAATGGCCCAGGACTCCCTACCCGGAAGGTAGACTGACAACCGCCAAGGGTTCGACTCTCACCCATTTGCGCACAAAGACAAGGCAATTCAATAAATGTCAGCCAGCCCCGCCCCCGCCCTCTTATTTCCTTTGAATAAACATCATCAGCTTTTAGTTCCCCCAATCTATGCTTTTGTTCTATTTCATAAGTCAACCTGTATGCCCTGTTCCAGCAGTGCGGCACGGTCAGGGTTGTGGGATCAAGGCTTCTGTGATACAAGGGAATCTCCCCCTTTATATGGGGGCTTAGTCTTTGGGAAGCCCTTTTTGTTGTATCGCAGAAGTGGTCATTTCCCACAGCCCTGGGCACGGTTGTTTACAGTTTGGTGGAACCCGTTCCCTTGAAATCACATTGCTGGCGAGTTCTTTGACCAACATGACCTCGTATACGACCTTTTGGAACATGACAAACATCGCCGCCCCTTCAACAAGTGGCCAGCTTTGGCACGGGCTCAGCCAGAATTCGCAGCATGTTTCTAGATCTACTTGAACAAAGCAGTCTTTGAATTTGAACACATCAAATCAACGCAATCTCATATAGTTTGGGGGTTGCAACCGCAGGCACAAAGATGTGGATGTCATGGGAAATCGTTGACTTATTTTGGCTATGATGCGGCCAAGCGTGGGTTCGACAAGTCTCTTTAGTAAGGATTCACGGCCTTTGCCCCCTTAACCGTTGAACCAGTTTTGTTTTAACGGCAAAAACGGGAGGTCCATGTCCTATGAGAACGCAAAACCCCCAGGGCATCAAGGGGTCCATAGCCCAATAAACTTTCAATAGATTGCCTTGAGGCAGGTGTGGCCTCAAAATAGAGGACCAATCCCGAACGGTAGGAACAATGCATGAGTTTCCTTTGATTTCCTGTCAATGGGTGACCGCTAGCGGTAGGGTCATGTTGCACAACCCCAGCGACGGACTTGCGCTCGGGTGAAATCGGGTCGATTTCCGGCTGCTCCCCGTTGCTTTCAATGACGGCCTTCCCTCCACGAGGAACCTGAAGACAGCGTCGGCCTCCTCCTCATCTTTCAATGTGGAGCGTCCAAGGCCAGGCCAGAGCCTTCCATGAGCGAAATCGATCCCAACCTTGTCCCCACAGTCCAGGCCAGAACTTAGACGCCTATTCTAGGGACGAGAAGGGGGTGGTAGTTGGAGTCTTGTCCTGAAAGGATGACAGCACCCAAAGTCAGCGGCAGAGATTTGCGTTGGCAGTGTCAAAAGTATGGCGGTTAGAAACCCCAGTCACGGGGCCGGGGGTAGCTTTCATTACCCTTATGGATGTCAGAACCGCCGGCTCCTTGGGATTCACTTGTTGCAGAGATTTGCGCTCTGAGAAGCCAAACGTGCAGGGGCCCCTGAAGCAAGGGCATTCTGATTCTGTGACCTTTTCTGTGGAACTTGTCATGAATTCATCCACCCTCCACTGGGCATTGGACAGGCAAGTGGCCACTGGATGTTCGGCGTATCTTCACTGTTCTTGGCATGTGTTGGCAATGTTGCTTGTGTTGTTATGTTCTATATATATATATGTATATATATGTATTTGTTTTTTCGGGGGGAGGTGGGGGGCGGGTGGTCCAAAGAGCGAACAAAGTGATTGCTGTCATAGTTGGGAAGATCTTGGCAGGTTGGGATCTTTCGCTCCACAAAAAACAATGAATCCTTCATGCGGGGAATATACCCATTGGTAGCAGGCCTGTATGTAAAGGATCCAATCTTACGTCCTTTTTTGGTCCCTGGCTCGTGTTTTTGTTCGGGAGGTCTTCGGCGTCGTTCAAGGGAAGCCAATTCAGTTGGACGATTTAGCACGCCCATGCTGACAAAGTAAACCTGGTACCCGAGGCAGCCACATTTCAAGTAAAGGGGAAAGCTATCCCTAGGACTATACTAGCCATGAGGTTCGCATCGTTGAACCGGGCAGGAACAGACCCAAGCTCCAAGACCGGCTAGCGGTCTATGAGGCATGGCCCAGGGTTTGCCTGTGCATGGAAATCACGCAATTTCAACGTCACAAGCGCGACAACGTGGCAGTGGGATTTTTCTTAGTAGCTCGTTCCAAGCCCGTTTTGTTCTCAAATTTGAGGACACCCTTGAAGTGCACATGCCCTCTTCAGTTGGACCCCTAAGTGTTTCTGACCAAGGATGTCAAACCCCACGCGATGAACGTCGCAAGGCAGAAAGCAAGAAGCAAGGCGCCCCTCCAACAGCACATTTTATCTTTGTGGGCATAAGGAGCACGAGCTGGGCCATTTGTAGCCACCGCACCGATCCGGGGTTTGTGATGCCAACCCATGACAAAGTTTTCTGTTTTGAGAGTCGCAGATGTTCGGTGGGTGAATTAGTAAGTTCACCCAGAAGCTAGGGTCGGACATGATGCAAATAGGGCTGAACAATGAACTGGGGGATGGCGCTTGTTATGTTAAATTGCAGGGGTTTCTTGGGTCGACTAGGCGACCGAGTTGCGAAGTGTCCTTTTTTGGAAGACTATTCTGGTGTTGCAGCTTGAGCTAAGTTATGCTCAGGCCTATGGGAATCCTGGATTCATAAACGCCTGGTTTGCTGGAGGGGCGTCCCATTTCGGCAGGAATTTGGATCACTTGTGCGAGGGTGAGCTTTGGTCTAGGAAGGTGCGCAATAAACTGGGGTGATGCTTAGTGGTTGGGAGCACACAAGGGTCTCCTCCAAAACTGTTAATGCATTTTAGGGTCATATCCACTACGCACCCGTAGGTGACTTCCCTCAGTGTTCATGGACCTAGACTGAATAAGCAGAATCCAACATTTCTTTGTCGAGCAGCTCAGATGTGGGCCGATAGTTGGGATTTTTGTTCGGCCCCTGTTCCAGATGGACATGGCACCGCAGTGCCTTGTTTCTTCGCATTTATGGGTTTGAACTTTTCGGGCAAGTCCATTCAAGAAATGTGGAAGAGGGTTCCACTTTTAAAATTGATTTTGAGGGGGCGTCCCCTGGAAAATCCCCATAGGCCCGCCTTGATAAATCAGGGATAAATCAGGGGCCGACGGGAAAAACAAAACTCGTAGGTTGGGCTCACTTCGGGATAGTTGCAAACGGGATAATTATGGAACCTTTGGCTTCTTTGGGGGTTGGTTTGGCCGTGGAAATTCTGTTGCACAAACCCTTAGCCGTCTGTCGCGGTAAACTCCAGGCCCGCCTTACGATAGCTGCTCCCCGTCTTTGCCAGGATGACAACCCCCGCTGTCAGCAGATCCTGTGTGCCGTGGGAGTCTTCTTCCCGCCACTGTGGATGGTGGGGGCCATCATGCAACCAGTCCGCATTCCTCGGATTCGAATCCAACAACTGGCGGCCCAGACGACTTGGGTAATCCCCCTTATCCCCAGGGTCACTGAAGGGTTGGGTTAGAAGTCAAGACAGGGATACTCAAGCAGAAGAACCCTACGTAGGAAGTAAGATTAGCTAGCCAGGTTACTTGTTCTTCCAAGACCCCTCTTTTTGTGAGCACCCCCAACCAAATACGGGAGAATGAGCGCCTAGAAGAAGAGGGAGGAACCATTAAAACGGCAAACCAAAGAGGTTGGTCGTGAAATCTGGTGCCTAAGCTTCTGTGAATTTTAATGCGGAACAAGCCCCATATTAGTTCGGGACACCCCCCGCGTCGGTGTTGTCCACCAAAGCGTCACCAAGGAGAATCCAGACGCCGTCCTAAACAACAGCAGAACAGGTGCATCGGGGTGAGCCATTGCAGGCCTGAAGCTAAGGAAGTTGATCCATTCGGTCTAAGGAAGCTGCAAGCCAGGTCAACCTATACGCCCAGGGTCTTGTCTTGCTGGGCGGTTGGCCCAATGCTATATACGTGATCCGGTAGCTGGCTTGTAGATTGGCACGTGAGGAAAGACACAAGAGGACACGCATCAGGTCCTAACATTGACATTTGATGAGCAAACCATATCGACAAGTCATACATACATATTAACCCCCCCCCCCAGCACCCGCAAAAATCATCAAAAGGCCATGGGTCAGACAGATAGCCCACTCTTTGTGGGGCCCACTAGTTTCACGCTTCGCAATGTCCCTGGATCGCTGTATTTATGAGATGGCGCTCAAGTAATGAAGAAACCAGCCAAGCAGCAGAATCCGACATGCGGCCTGGACAATGGATGCAAGTCACTGGGAGTCTAGCAGGCAATCCGGCAATTCACACAGGCTGCCGAACCCATGAACCCTCCTCGCCTATAACACACCCCGGCAGACACCAAGTTCACGTTTGCTAGCGGAGAGTCAGCCAAGGTCAATTGGACCTTGCATCTTGTATATCGCAGAACTCCTCCTGCCAGAACAAATCAGTACTGCTATTGGGTTGGATCGTTAGACTTTAACTGTTTTGGAGTTTCCTCATATTTTCTCGTAACCAGCAAAAAGTTAAACTTTTTGCTGGGGGATCTACAGCACCCAAGAAATGCCCACACAGGACCAATGGGCAGAACACAAGCCATTTTGCATGAAGAACTCCTGGAGCAATTGGCGATGATTCCAACCACCAAGAATGTAACAATGCTTTATAGGCAGTGTGAGGAACGAAGATGTAAAATATTTGAATACTGAACTTCGAATGCACCCCAGTGCCATCAACCGACCCAGGCGTAACCTCAATACTGTGAGTTGGTGTTCCACTCGATCGATGAGTCATTGCCTTGGACACCGTCTGCACAGTTATCTATGAGGAGAGCGGGTCAGAGTTTCACACTCCTGCGGCTTTCGTCCGGGCGGATCAAAACACAAAGGCCGCAAGGATCATGTCTTTTTCACAATCAAGTGGCTGCAGAATAGAACTCGGAGAAGATCCAAATACATGCGTGTCTGTCTTTATTTTCGGGTGGTTTCCACTCATTGATCTTCTCTCAACCATGGTTTTTCTTTACATTTGGGCTCAAGACTCTTCTCAGCTAGGTGGAGAGAAGAGGTTTCATTGCTGCGCGTGCTGTCAGAGAGGCAATTATCAGGACATCCCCTCCACACTCAACTTCCTCATTGCTTCTGAGATAGGTCCTGCGACATAGTGAGCCGGGCTTATCTCCTCGGGGAGCGGGCAGAAACCCAACACGAGCCATCAGAGAATATACACAGATGACTCGGTGTGACCTTTTCTTACTTTTTCAGATGGCCCGCTCCTTTCTATTTAGGAGCCAAAGGTCGGCCTAGAGACCAATGCCCTGCAACCACTCAGATCACACATACACTACCGATTCTGAGTTGGCGGGCTACCTAACACACGTGCATGCGTATGTGCAATTTTGTTTTTGATACATACACACGGTATGTGTGTGTTAGTGCTAAACCAGGCAATCGCAAACGCCTTGCTGCGTCCCAGGTATGCCACGACGCCAGCCACAAAGACGAGCACGCGAGAGGCATTTGGTGGTGCTGCTGCTGCTGCTGTTGTTGTGGTGGTGGTTTGGTGGTGGCTTGGTGGTGGCTTGCTTACAAATCTCTACTTTACCAAACAAGGACGATAATGTGAAATTGCGTGCGGGCATTCGGGTGGCCAACGCTTGAGGTACTTGTATTGAGGATTGTCGCAAGGATGGGTCTTGGACCGCTGACTCCCTTACCTAGCCGCTTTTGATTTCCAAACCCTTTTTTGGCCGAGCTAAGAGCCCATTTTTGGAAGGCCATGTCATGGCAAGGTTTAGTCGGGCAGTGTGCGGGACCCCTTGCAAAGGGCACTTGGAGCGCTAAAAGGCCACTTCTTTGTTGCTTGGCAAATGGAGGGGGGTCTGAGGGGTGTTCTCGGTGTTGCCCTTCACGATTGTTTTGAGGGATCCCATGTTCCGCGGCTGTCATGTTGGGCCTTTCATGGGCCATGTTCGCCAGGCAGCTGACATCTTCTGCCCAGGTTATGCTTATATGCCTGAACTAGTTTTTCTTCCAAGAAGGCAGGCCGACCAGAAGCAAGAAATCCTAGCCCGTTCCTGGCACCTAGCACAAGCCTGTGAAAGGGGTTTTGGTTTTGGGTTCGTCGGGTCAAAGCAGCGCACCAGCTCGAGGCTGGCTTCAAGAACTTGGTCCTCGCGATCATATGCACAGTGCTGCTGCTTGCCACTGACAGACTCTGCCACCAAGTTTGTACCTTGTTCTCGGTAGCTTTTTGTCAATGGCTTCCCAGAAGAACGGGGCCTTTGTTTTGGTTTGCCTTTGTAGTTGGCTTCAAAGCCGAAACCCAGCTCGATTCCGCACCTGCGGCATTTCTGCGTGACGCCAGTTTCTTTCTGCTAAGCCAGAGATGGTTTCCAATACGGCTGGAGTGATTTCGCTGAGTCTGAGCAGTAGTGGGTAGGTGGTTGACATTAGCAATCGTGTTGTTTCTTCCAAAGAATTTGGAAGAATGTGTGGCCGCCCTGCCCTGAACACGGGAAAGGCTCCCTCCCTCACCGCTTCTTCGACCAATGAGGTTGCCACTGGGCCAACCCCCCCCCCCGCCGCAGATCACGAAAGATGTTCTGCGAACAAAAAGGGCCGTGTCATTACCGTGTCATTAGGTATGTATGTATCCGTTGATTGATTTTGCTTCGATTGTTTGAGGGGCAAACGCAAAGCTGTTTCAACTCAGTGCTTCGGCTAGTCTCCACCCACACCTCCAGCCCCCGCCGCGCCATCACTGAGGCTTCTTGCGTACGGCGTGTACAAATTCTCTACCAAGACAGGCGCACGGATGCTTTGTGTGTGGTTGAATGTCTGCTTGCGCAGGTGTGTTACATGTGTTTGTCCGTCACTTTTGCCAAAGTACCTGTATACGCAGTTGCGCACGTTGGTTTGGCGGGTGTTTGTGTATGCCGATATGTCAAGACGCAGTGCGTGCGTGGGTGCGTGCGTGCGTGTGTGCGTGCGTGCGTGCGTGGGCGGGCGGGCGGGCGGGCGTGTGCGCGTGCGCGTGCGCGTGCGTGTGCGTGTGCGTGTGCGTGTGCGTGGGTGTGTGTGTGTGTGTGGGTGTTTGTGTGTGTGTGTGAGTGTGTGTGTGTGTGTGTGTAACTGTGTGTGTGTGTGTGCGTGTGTGTGCGCGCGTGTGCGTGTGCGTTTTTGTGTCTTTGTGTCTTTGTGTACTGTATGTGTGTGTGTGTTTTTGTGTGTGTGTGTTTATTTGTGCGTGTGTGTTTGTTTGTGTGTGTGTGTGTTTGTTTGTGCGTGTGTTTGTTTGTGTGTGTGTGTGTGTGTGTGTGTGTGTGTGTGTGTGTGTGTGTGTGTGTGTGTGTGTGTGTGTGTGTGTGTGTGTGTGTGTGTGTGTGTGTGTGTGTGTGTGTGTGTGTGCGCGTTTTTGTGTGTTTGTGTGTGTGTGTGTGTGTGTGTTTGTGTGTGTGTGTGTGTGTGTGTGTGTGTGTGTGTTTGTGTTTTGTGTGTGTGTGTGTGTGTGTGTGTGTGTGTTTGTGTGTTGTGTGTGTGTGTGTTGTGTGTGTTTGTGTGTTTGTGTGTTTGTGTGTTGTGTGTGTGTGTGTGAGTGTGTGTGCTTTGTGTGTGTGTGTGCGTGTGCGTGTGTGTGTGTGTGTGCGCGTTTTTGTGTGTTTGTGTGTGTGTGTGTTGTTTGTGTGTGTTTATTTGTGTGTGTGTGTGTTTGTTTGTGTGTGTGTTTGTTTGTGTGTGTGTGCGGAGTGTCAGATTTACCCTGACACCACCTTTCTCGACGAGATCATGTTTGTCGCAGGGGGCGTGGCAGCCATCTTCCTAGCCACGCCAACGAAGCTATGGAAGTTTGGCCGGAAGCGTTGAGGGACGCCTCAATGCGTACCTGCAAGTGATCTCTGAATGTCTTTTTGGCCCCCTTGGTTGCGGCGCTGTTTGTGATTCTTGTTCTTTCGGGTATCGTTTTCGTCACTAGAGGGAAGCCGAGTGCATCGCGAGCCGAAACTCATCGTACTCGAGACTTATCAGTTGTACTCGAGACTCATCAGTTGTACTCGAGACTCATCAGTTGTACTCGAAGGATTGGCACCCTCCCTTGGGAGTTGAAGTGTGACTACCCCAGTTTGGGGGAATCTCGGGTGTACCCATCGTGTGACCCCGGGCCGGTTCGCCGGAAAATTTGACCTCAACGTTCATATCATAGTACAGCGGAATTTCACGATTTAAGCAGGAACGAGGTTTCACTAAAGGGAAGACAGCCGTCTGATCATAGCTAAGTCTCACAATTGCTGTAGTTGGCTGCACGACTGCGTGTTGATCCCTTAGGAATAAACAGGCAAAAGAAGACCAAAGAATATGAGCTTCGAGAGTTGGCAGGGTTTTCGGGCGTGTCACGCACACATAGCCCATTTGTAAAACCTTGCTGGGCCCCCCCAAAAGGTAATTAGCACTGTGCTCCTGGTTAATCCCTGATTAACAAGTGTGACAGTGCAGGGAGGGCCATTTATTCGACAAGTGCCAACACCCACGCACCCACACACATAGACTCTCACACACACACACAAACACACACACACACACAAACACACACAAACACACACACACACAAACACACAAACACACACAAACACACACACACAAACACACACAAAAACACACACACAAAAACACACACACAAAAACACACACACACAAACACACACACAAACACACACACACAAACACACACACACACAAACACACACACACACAAACACAAACACACACACACAAACACACAAACACACAAACACACACAAACACACACACACAAACACACAAACACACAAACACACAAACACACAAACACGCAAACACACAAACACACGCACACAAACACACACACAAACACACAAACACACAAACACACACAAACACACACAAACACACACAAACACACACACACACAAACACACACACAAACACACACAAACACACACACACACACACACAAACACACACACACACACACACACACACACACACACACACACACACACACACACACACACACACACACACACACACACACACACACACACACACACACACACACACACACACACACACACACACACACACACACACACACACACACACACACACACACAAACACACACAACACACACACAAACAAACACACACACACACACACACACACAACACACACACACACACACACACACACACACACACACACACACACACACACACACACACACACACACACACACACACACACACACACAGACACAGACACAGACACAGACACAGACACAGACACAGACACAGACACAGACACAGACACAGACACAGACACAGACACAGACACAGACACAGACACAGACACAGACACAGACACAGACACAGACACAGACACAGACACAGACACAGACACAGACACAGACACAGACACACACACACACACAAACCCACACACACACACACAGCCACACAGCCACACAGCCACACAGCCCCACAGCCCCACAGCCCCACAGCCCCACAGCCTCACAGGCCCACAGCCACACAGCCACACAGCCAGCCTTTCGGTCAACAAAACAGATTCTCCAAGCAAGGGGCTCCTGTCAATTTCCCCTTCGCGGCGCTTGTGGGAGTCTACGCAGTGTGAGGGCTTGTTGGGGGCAATACCGGGCAAGGGCGACAGCCTGTGAGTTCCAGATGAGCAGCTGGGGGTTCCCTCCAGCTGCTGGAGAAGATGGAGTTCGACCATGCCGTGGCTTCGGAGTTGGCGAACGTGGTTCAAAGCGACGCTGTGCATCCTTTAGCCACTGAGGAGGAGACAAAGCTGCCCGGTGTGCTGCTTGAACTTCAGCACCATTGCTTCCCAAGCATTGCCTTTCCTCCAGTCCACCAGCGGCCAACCTCCTCACCTTCCACTATTCCTCCGGGCCCAAGAATAGAGGGTTGGTTGACCGCACATGTGTCTTCCCGGCGCCTTCCCATGGGCTGGAATCGCAGAGCATGTTCCTGACCGTGGCAAGGTGCTAATCGTGGCGTAGAGAACCCCTCGCAAGACCCCTTCTTTGCTGTGAGCCCGGCCTTGTCCATGGAATTGCGGGTAGTTTCATTCTGTACCCACCACGCGGCATGCGGCAAACTCGAAAGAGCTTGACTCCCACTTGATTGCTCGCCGAGTCCTCCTGGCCACCGATGAGAAAGTCATCGACGTGGATTCCCGCAACGCCCACCACCACGTTGCCTTCTATCAGGATGTCGGTCTGACCGTAGCGCAGTGACCACGTGGGTGTTCCACTCCTGGCCGCAGGGTTAGCCCATAGAATGCCCACCATTGCAGTAGGTCTTCCTCCTCAGGTTCTGAAGGAACGCTGCTGTGACGTCCCCGGCTGCAATCTTAAACTTCCGGTTCGCCGGCCAAGCTTGCCTTTGCTTGTCCGGATCCTTTCCGGCATAGCACCCATCTGTCTGCACGGACTTCAAAGTTCCTGTGCCAGGTACGAGCTACCGTGGCGGCGATGCAGGTGGTAGAGACAGCAACGTCTCTGAGATGGGCGCATGGACATGCCCAACTTGGTGATTGCTTGACCAAGTTCAACGAGAGGAAGCGCAAGAGGAAGGTCATGGAGGAGTTCAGGATGCGTGAGACGGTGTTCGTGGAAGCTGTTGGGAGGCTCGCTCAAGACGAGCGACTTCTGTGCTTGAGTGACTGACAAATGGTCAGTGAAATGGGACTGGCGCGAGTACAGCCGGCATGTGCGTGTGACCCTTTGTTCCATAGGGGCGGGCACGACACCAAGCCTTCAAGGTGTTTGTCCACTTGGCTTGCTGCAATGCTCGTTTTCAGTGGCTTGCCCTCGTGGGGCAGAAATCTGGGAAACGTCGTTTGAAATTCCGCGTTCGTTTTCCGATTCTGAAGAAACACTAGGGCCTCCTAGAATCCTAGAACGGTTCTGAAAACCTAGCCAGATAAAACCTTTTCTATGGGGCGTTTAGTCTCGGCTGGGAGCGTCATGTGGCCCGACTGGGCACACATCACCCGCCAAAGGCCACTCCCGGTGAGACGAGCTGGTTGCTTGCGTGCAGGCCGTGGGTGGCGGTTTCCGAAAAAGGGCCAAGCTATGCAGTAGGGAGTTGGTTCTCGGTTCCAGGCTCTGAAAAAGAAGTGCCAATCTTTGCGCGCAACGTATGCCTGAGAACCTCCCCGAAGAACAATGCTTGGAATGAATCAATAAACCTCTGGGGCGTGTTATTTGTTTTTTTGCAGACCCCTGTTGACGCCTGACCAAGTCGAGGAGTCGGCGCCAGAGGCCAGGAGAATTACAAACAGGAAGCAAGTAGTAGATACTAGTAGCTACGGTGAAGTCAGGCTTGTGCCAAGAATATTGTTGTTTTTTGTTTTTGGCATGGGTTGTCTCAAGTGCGGGGCCATGGGTGGCTTGCTTTAGCTTTCCTTCCAACTTCAGAGCCAACAAAATGAAGGTTCCCCGCAAAAGACATACCCGCATCTTGCGTTTTCAGCGGGGGGAAGGCGTGAATTGCAATTGATGATCTGGGTGTTGTTTTCTACTTGCGGTCGAGGGAATGCATCCATCACTGTTTTCGCTGCTTGATCGTACTTTCGTATCTACATTGCTGGGCACGGAGCCTGCCCATTTGCCTGTGGGCAAAATGTGCACCATTTGTTTTGTCTGGCCCTGCATTTTTGCAGGCCGGACTCGCGTGAAGATCTGAGCAAAAAGTTCGGCTAGCTCCTCACTCGCCTCGGGCAATGAATCGCCAAATCGAGCGTTTGCTCGATGTCTTGAACAGCGCAGTCTGGTTTGGGGCTCGGCGAGTGACGTTGCAAGAATCACATGGCGGATTCTCAACTAGACTTCGATGCAGAATGCGACCTCAAGGGGTATATCAAGAAAATGAAGGTAGTTTGTGGTGGTGTCTAGATGTTTCGATGGTGCTGCGGTTGTGTCGCACTAACTTCTAAGTTTGTGAGAAATAGTGCTTACTAGATAGATTGTTATGACGTGTGTGCTTCTTTTGGTTGTGTCTTGCTATTGTGTTGGTGGTATTGCAATAAAATTATTGTGTGTTGTGTTTGGACGGTTACGTCCCACGTTTACTTAGTCGAGGGAAGAAAGACAAGGTTCTTGATTAAAGCGCTGGCGTCCAATCTAGACAAATACGTTATTGATACTGAGGGTGTCAGTCAATCTACACTTGTCACCAGCATCTTCGTTTAGAAGAGTGTGTTTAATTGATGACACAGAGATTGGATATGTTTGTAGATAGAATCGGTTAACACCTAAATATATATACATATATATATTTCGATTGAATTGATGAATATGTTTTATATTGGGATCGTTTGTAATTGTATGCTTAAAATGTATGAATTATGGTAATTTGTTGAATTGTATGATTGGGAAGGTTCGAATTGCGAAAGGTCGATGATTGGATTACGAGATCAATATCATATATTTCGTTTATTTTGTTTATATGGGTTTGTAGATAATATGAATGAAGGAAATTAATATAAAATAAAATAGTAATAAATACAATAGAAATGATTAATATTGTTTTGCGATTGGATTTTAGGATTATAATTAATTATATAATATTATATAATCTTTATAATTATATTATAACATTGATTAATTTGATATTGATATATATATATATTTTATATTAATATTATATATTTATTTTTGAATATTTAATTTAATGATAAATTTTTTTAAGTAAGTGTGGTGACTAAATGTAAGGGGATATTTTGAAGTAAATGAATTATTAATTGAAAGGATTTTTTTAATTAAGTAAATGGACCGTTAATTGAAAAGAATATGTTTTTGGGTGATTGTTTATGGGGGGGGGATGATTTTTTAAAATAAAATTAATTATAATAAAAACAAAATAAAATAAATCTAAATAAAAATTAGATTTTAATTCTTATTAATAATGGTGGCATACCAAAATAAGGCAAATATGTTGAATTGTTATATAATTATTGATTAATTGGGTAATATTATTTATATTGGAAATATTTATAGAATGATTTAATTTGAAATTATATATATTAGTTGGATATATTTTATAATAATTGGTAGGATATATTATAATATATAATATAATTATATGAATATTTCGATATTATATAGGCTTGAATTTTGGTAATGATAGATTCTTTTAATTTTAGATATAATTAAATCGATATATATTATTTAAAATTAATTAGGAAATAATAAACACAATTTAAAAAACATATTATTGAATATATCCGATTAGAAAGATATATAAATATAATATATAATATAAAAATATATTACTAATATAATAATAGAGGAATTTTATTATAATTTTGGATTATAATTATAATTTATAATATTTTGATTATTTTTATTTTTTTTTATTTTTTAATATTATAAAGGATATTATTAGAATTATTTATACTTTTCATAATTTGTATTTTAGTAGAAACAATGGCATTATGGCTCTATGTGTTTGTGAGATGTTTGTATATGTGTTTAATAATATCTTAAAAAAATATAAAAATTGTAAAACATATTTAATATTCGGTATTATTTTTATATATAGTTTATATAAATTAATTATTAAATATGATTATAATATATTATATTTTCTGTTTTGCAATAATTAAATATAGAATTATATATTATAATTTGGAATTTTTAAAAATTATATATTATAATTAATTATTATTATTCATTAAAAAATATATATACAATATTTAATTATTTATAAATATATATATACCCTGGAATTCGAAAGGTCTTTTCAGAAACGGCCGTTTGTCGAAGATCTATTTGTAGCAAGAATACATATTTTCATTAATTCCGAAGAACCATTTCTGGATTCCCATCTTGGTCAATACATAAGATCATATTTCTGGCCTACCATGTTGGCCAATAAACAAGTCCCCCCCCCCACACAAAGCTAGCAATCATATAGGCCCGAAGCTCACATTAACCAAATCAGAATTTGGTTCCCTAAACTTCCAAATTCCTTTGACTGGCTATTTGTCGAAGGACCAAAAAAATCAAAACCCGCGTTTTCACCAGCTTTGGACAACCATTTGTAGAGCTCGATGTTAGCCAATAAGCTACCGCGACCGTAGTCCAGCCATTACGCAAGCCCGTGTTTAAGCTAAACTCGTTTGGAATCACCTTTTGTCTTTGAAAAGGTCGCACAATTAAGCTCTGTAGATTTCAGCTCCGCCACTTTAACTTGCATGCCTTTCATATATTATATAAATATATATGTCGATTAATTATAATTATAAATAATTATTTTATTATTTAAATATATTTAAATAATATATATACCTAAATATCGGAAGCCATTTTTAAAATAACTTAATATCCCTCGGCCATTTTAAGAAAATGCTCGGCCATTTATAAATCTTTACTAACGGCCTATTAAAAAACATAAAACGGCCAATTCTAAAATGGCTCTTTAGTTTAGCATTGTATTATAATTCAATGTTATTTAATAGGTTAGGATTATCTTTTAAAGGTCTTAACCAATAGCTCTAAGAGCTTTTAAGTAAGGCAAATTCAATTTCATTTAATAAATAAATATAACATATTATATAATTTTCTTTAAATTTAAAATTATAAAAAATTATTATTAATTAAAAAACACATTTAAATAATTAAATTATACATAAATATTATATAACAAATAAATATTATATAATAATATTAAAAAATTATAATATATTAAACATAACAATATAAATTTAAATAATAATCATAACGTAAAAAAAAAAAATATTTAAATATATTATTTTATAAATTCTTATTTTCTATATATTTAATATATTTAAATATATAATTTTAAATTAATGTAAAATATTATATAGTTTAATATTAATTCTATAATTTTAAATAATTAAAATTAAATTTAATATATATATATATTTATTATAAAATTATAAAATTATATATATATAATTAAAATATTTAATAATAAAAAAATAATTAATTATCTATAAAATATAATAAATAAATATAACCATATTAAAATATATATATAAAATATAATAATATAATTAATATATTATAAATTATAAAGTAATAATAATATATATATATATATATAAAATCAATTTATTAAATAAACATTTTTAATATATAATATATATATCTATATATTATTTTATCAATTAACCTTAAACAACAAAATATATATCAAATTCATAAATAAGAAATAAAATCATAATTATAATCGAACCTTACAACATTAATCAACAATATCATAATATTTTTCTATAAAAATATAAATACTTTCAATAACAATCCAATTATAAATTAATTAAACTCGATTTTCAATAAAATAATATAAAACCATATTAAATATTAATAACATAATCAAACAAAATAAACAAAAATACAACATATACAAAAATCAAATAAATAACGTAACGCAATAAAACAAACATTACTAAATATTAATATCTAAGATAAAACCCAGTATTCAATCAAATCATGTAAAAACATAACAAATAGAAACAAACAAACGAAAAATACCATAGAACACTTAAAACAAAACAATCGAAAACAAACAAACCTAAACAAACTGAAAACAAAACGAAAACAAACACAAGTTTACAGACACAAAAAAATATCTAAGAGACGTGTTTAGGAGGGCCAACCATCGTGGCAGACGTTAAACCCCGCGCTCTGCAAAAGCTGCTGCTAGTTTTTTCTGGCTCTGGCCTGGGGAGGTGGCGGCGTTTGCAGGAGCCCCCCTGCCGGACGCAAACGGAAAACTGAGTAAACCGACGGCTTGGTATCCTTCCAGGAAAGGCAGACCAAGGGAGGTGGTCAAAAGGGCGGCGAACCAAGTAAACCTTGGATGCACCCAAGCCCTCTTCACGCGCTGCAGAGATGCGCAGCTGCAGCAAGCAAGTAGCTCGTGGATGAAGCCGGAGAAGCACCCACCCCTAAGCGATTACGCTAGCTCGTCCACCTTGTCGGCCAAACTCAACACGTGATGCGGGCCCCAAGCTCATGCGAGTCGATACAAGGGCTAACTGTTCCTTCGAAAGCTGGGCGAAGCGGTTGCGAATCAAAACTCTCCAAGCTTGCCGAACCACACAGGCCCAGTAACCCAATAAGGATTCCAAGTGCCAAAGAAGGGAAGTCTAATGGCCGGTCAGGGAAAAGGTGAACGGGCTGTGGCGGCAAATGACAAACCCGAGGTGTGTTCTGAAGGAACTCGTGAGCTGATTGCCAGATGAAAGTGGAGATCGCCGAGACCGTCACCGCACGATCCATGCAAGGAGCTTGAACCCTCAAATCTCACGACGTTCACCCCAGCATTTATACAGTATGTTCTATATTATGTATTTCTATCAATATAATGTTGATGATTCTGATTTCAGACCTTTGGCCAGCAAACAAACAAACACGCCTCGGAGCTCAAATTTTAAAGCTATGTATGGTGCTGCAGCTGCATGGAGCAAATTACATGCAAGTGCACAAGCGCAAACTTTTGGACATGATAGCAAACATCCCACACAAGTTCTGCAGTTTGTGCAACTCTTTGCAATCAGCAACACCTATCACTCAAGCGCTGGCAAAGATTCCTGTTGTGTCCTGTAAACGCCTGGGCCCGCAAAAACCATGCTACAAGTAATTCCAGCAAAGCAACACGTGCAAAACACCAGCCCCCTCAGGCTAGTTGAGTTTCTGCTCGCCGTGCAACTCCCGTACATGAGCTGAGCAGCAATGAACTTTGTGCACGTATTCCGCGCATCTGCAGACCAAGAATTCAGCGAGGTAGCAAAATCGACTGGGCGCATCTTCGGACCGCCTGAAGCTGACGAACCAGTCATGCAAATTTGGGATACAATGGGCTGTGCTCTATCGCGATGTTTATGGGAGACCCTCCAAGTATGTGTCCGAGTGCAAGCTGCCCACGGCTTCCGGTCTGCTCCATCTTTGAAGCAAGCGTCATGCTATCCAGCCAGCACCGGTAGTTAAACGATTGTCACCAAGAGCTTCAGAATCACCTCAAGAAAGCACGGAGCCAACAGTCAAGTGTGGTCGACCGGCTGCTTCTGCACTTGCACACGAGCCACAGGCAACACTCATGGTCCCCAACTGAGATGGGAATTTGGCGAGTAAGCTCTTTCCCTCATTGTATTCTGGTGTCTGGACTCCACGTCATCCCCCTGTGCTATTGCAAATGACAGTAAATATGCAGATGACAGTAAATATTGATCGCGCATCTCTCGCTGCATGACATGTGCAGTTTCTGGAAACTAAGCCATCTGCGATGGACAGTATTGCGGCGAGGCTGTACGTGATCGCAGCTTCCTCGGCATACCTTGGTCAACGATTAATCGTTGACCCAGGATTTAAGTCCTTTCCACCAGCATTATTTACTCAAGGGCAACGATGTAAAATGGTACCAAACGTTGATCCAGATACCCACTTTGTATCGCGTACATCAAAAAGGTTGATGCCATCGGACAGACCGTGGTGAGGGCGAGCACGCTCGACATTGGATCCTGTGCAGGCAGAATCAGGCAGCTGACAACATCACCTCTGGCCCAGCGTGACTTCTTACAGCTGACTGAGCCCGAAAGCCTCATAGTTCAATTTTGCCAGACTTGCAGTTGCCATCCTCCAAAAGTCAAAATGCCCAGGCTGATGTCAGGCCTCTAATGGGAGGACGTACTTGATGAGGCTGAACATGCTCAGGCACAAGCACAAGCGGAAGAAAAGCGCCCGTCCCACCATGCCGTAGGACTTCCTGCCGAGCTTGAACTTCAGAGTCGCGCCTTGCACGACATGTTTTCGCGACATGATGATATTTGTGCTTTGACACATAGACCCAGCCCACACTAACAGTCCTTCACTCATGCGTTCCCACCCTGCCTAGAAATGCATATAGCAAGGGCGGGAACGCCCCGCTCAGTGCTCGAAGTGCTTGCACAGGCACGGGGTACAGCGGAACCTATCCAAGTCTGACAACTTGTCAGTGTCTCTTGCGGAACAACCCAGATTTTCAGTAGCCATGGAACAAACTTTAAACACGGGCACCCTTACTTGGCACTTGATTTTACAGGGAAATTCCCTGAAACAAATGCAGAACAAGGGCACCAGTTTTGGATAATTCAATGTAAAGATAATCCCTCCAAAAACAGGAAGCAAGGGGCACCTCAACTGGCCTGACAAAGGCGAAACAGCCCAATGTCTCACTAAAGCCACACACTTTCACAATTTAATGAATAGCAATGCTGGATTGGGTCCGTAGACGTGCACTTAGGACCCCTTTTTCGGATGCACGGACCGGGCCTGGCAAAGGTTCAGCATCACACCCCCGAACAGGGCGCAGATCAAGGGATTCGTGAAGAGGCGTATGCTGAGCTCCTCCACATCCAGCGCACTTGTACCCCAACATATGTCTCACAAAGCCCCTGAAGACTACTTTCTTTTTGGACTTTGGGGTTGCGGGCAAACAATCCTATCTGCCCCAAGGCTTCGCACCTGGCAACGCCGCAGGAGCTCTCTGGAAGTGCTTGTGACTTCCGTCGCCTCGCTCCTGGGATCACAAACTGAGAAGCAACATGAGGCTCAAAACAAATGGCTCCGCCTTATGAAGGGGATACCAACGAGAACCTCCTTTTGGAAGGGAGGGAAACCAAGAGTGCCCATCTTAATGGAGCACAAGTGACAGCGCCACAGCCTCCCACCTGTGCGCAGTTGGTGGCTCGGATGTGGTCCGCACGGGCAACTCCGATACCATGGCGATGGTCCCAGCGGGCGGTGTTGCAGGAGCCTGCGATAAAACAAATGCCCTGTCCACATAGTGCGAGGCGTCCTTTTGGAATAGATGGCACTGGTATATGATTGAAGTGAACGGAAACAAGTACCACCTACTTTTGACCTTACAAAGGGCATCCGTATGCATTGTCACATCTGAAGCCAACCTCCCTCTAATATTTGGCGGCATCAGCTGCATGCTGCGCACACGCCTCTTCATCCTTCGTATCTTTTAGGGCGGTGGGGTTCGCCGACGCATAGATGGAGTTCATCACCCCATAGTAGCCTCACTTGCCCAAGCACCTGAAAACTAACAGGCTAACATTCTGTAACCTTGACTAAATATAGAAAAATTGAACCACCGAAACCAAAAGGCAAACATGTCGGCTTGGGACATAGTTGTGGAAAATAACCCTTTCTACCAAGTGGGAGAGGGATTCCCATCCCTAAGACTACTTTATCCCTTTCAAGGAGGGTTCCCTTGGTATCGTATCAGAGCGGCAATAAGACCCCATTTTCCACAACCACGGCTTTGGACAAGCGAGTATCAAATGCCAACGAGCATGTTCCCGCCCACGTCGAACATGGCGGCGAAACCCACGTCATCCGGCGAGAACTTTTCTGACCCCAGCACCACAGGAATCACGTACGCAATGCCCACCTACTGATGGAGCTCTTAAGCAGGATCCCTTCAAGGATGCATTCAACAAGCTTCAAGGCGTGACTTGTCGATTGGCCCAAATGTATGGTTTAAGGGACGCGGGTTCACACTTTGACTGCACGTTTTGATTCAAGATCTCACTGCGGAGCTAGATAAACTCCATGGGCCCATGGGGGCGACGATCAACGGGCGCTCCCTGTCACTTGTTTGTCATAAAGGGGATGCCCCTTGATTACAGAAAATGGCCTTACAACCCAGTTTTCCACAAAACAACTAAACATGGGCAAACAAAGGGAAACTGAAAGGTAAAAAGGACGGTTTTGAAGAGGTATGTAAAAAGCAAGCAACCTTTCTTTGCTGGCGCAAGCGAGTCACACCAGAAGTTGCCATTGCCATGAATCCACGCTCAGCCATCGGGAAAATCGGCAGCTGAACGAGGAGCGTAACGAGCAGAATCCATGCCGCGCTGACCAGTGCTGACCACCCAATCGCCTGGAACAGCTCTGCTCCTCAAAGAACTGGGGCGATGGGTATTGAACATGGTGATGGGGATCCACCATCCGAGATACCAAGGCGAACCAAGGGTTACTAAGGATTGACTTCAAACAACCCAGACTGTACTTATCTCTTTTTGACCAGAACACAGACCAGCCAAGAACAATCCGAGTGTTTGACAAATCTCAAAAAATATCAATGGACGACTATATAAACATAACAGTTTTTGGTTGCCTTGAGTCACGGATTCAACCCCCCTCCTCCAACCCCTCCCGTAGCCCCCCGGGCTTCCCCAACAAGGAGGACTCTGCCAGGAAGGTCCATGAACTTTTGCGAAACCTTCCAAACATTGCTGGGACTGTGGCTTTCACTCAGAAGCACTATCACGAGGAAAGAAGGCACCACGTGTTCTATGCGCAGTCTTGGTTCTCGCAGTCTGCGGTCTGCCGAAACGGGGCGCGTTTAACGGGTCTGTGACCAAAGCCCCCATGACGCCTCACCATGATGTGTGTCTTTACTCGGGGATCCATTTGTTTCCAGTCTTGGAATGATTGTAGCAGTTGCAGTGTGATTTCCCAAAGGATTCGGTCGAATTTGGTGCTCACTGACTCTCGCACGAACAGCAGTAGGGCAACCATTAATTCCTGCCATCCAAATCTCTGTTTGCCGGGTACGGTCGGACGTTCGCCAGGGTGAACAAAATCAGAGATGACAAAACCAACATCAGGGGAAATGTGCTATCTACAAATGTCAAAACAATGCGTTAGTTTCGCCTGCTTGCAAGCGTGGACAAAAAATCATAGCGTCAGTGACTCACGTGCAATCAAGACTCGAAGATTTGCGGACCACAGCACGGTCAGGACAAGCGCTGGCAGGCAAACTTTGAATGTCATCGCAGCAATCCCAGGCAAATGCTCATCTTTGATGAGCGCACTTTTCCGCAGCACAAAACATAGGAGCACCACCAGCAGGTTGCTGATGACGTCCTCACTTGTCCAAGGGTTCCCTGCATCACCAGCCAAAGGGCGAGTTTTCTTTTCTCGGGCTGAAAGGGAAATATTGACGACTGCCAAAGGACCCGGAAACTAACTGATTGGATGTTTAGCTCTTAGCCAGAGAATTGCCAAAACCAGGCAGCGAACAGGTCAACACGTCGGCATATAGGGGCAGAGCGTCCATGCTGTCACGGATCACGATGGGAAGTTCCTGCAAAAACTGAAGCTCTTCTTCAGATGCTGCGCTCATGGCGACCCAAAAAAGCAGCAGGACAGCACGACAAGTCTCTCGCTGAAATGCAGCTGCCTTCGCACCGAAAGGAATCCTTTGCCTTGACTCTTCGGAAACTCCAAGCTCAATCACAGAACCCGAAGGCAAATGCAAACAAGGAGACAAGCTTCCCGAGTCCAAAAAACCGCTTTGTTTACGGCTAAAATGGCCTTTGCAAGGAGTATGACTTTCATATAAATTTGGGACATCTCACATTTCCGCATGCTGCTAGCCGCCCAGCTGCGGTATCCTCGGGCAAACGACTGAGGGGGCAACCCGCACCAGTGACAAGCCCCGCGAATTGAGCGGCAAACAAACTACAATGCAGACTAGACTACAAGGCGCATTGATATCCTTGTTCGCTCTATGATCTTTCCCGTGCATGTTCAATCAAATGTCAGCGTCTTTGAGGTTTGAAAACACAGTACATGCGGCATTCCTGCAAGAATTGGGCTTTTCTACCGGCAAAATAATTGCGTTGATTGGACCCCAGAGCTCTCCCGCTCTCTTCACAACTCAAGGCCAATCACTTCAATCCTTCTTCGAAGTAGGCTCCTGGCATCAACCGGCCCTGTGACGCTCTCCCCTTCCCAATCTGACGGAGAGCTGCGCTTTTCTGCGCAGCATCTTGCGCGCAAGAAGCTACGTGGGAATCAGTAGAACTGACTTGAGACTTCGGGCTAAGCTTATCTGTTGAGCGGGACGAATGTTGCCAAAACAGTCAGACAGGTTTATCGATACACAAGCTCTCAAGGTGTTTCTTCTTGTGAAGGGCATGCAAATCCCCACGGCCTGAGCACTGGGCAGCCCCAGTTTTGGGGCCCCCATACAAGTTGTTTTTGTGTGTCTGGTTGCTCTGCGCAACTTGATATCAGAATCTACCCCCGAGGGCACATAAACAGCGCAACACTTCACGAACGTCTCCTAGATGCAGTTCCTGCCAGCACCGTTGCTTAAGTTCCACCAATAACCCTCAAGTACTGGGCCACGGCTTGCAATCTGGCGCTTCCGCTTCAGCCCTCGCGGAAGTCGTCTTTGGGAGGCCGAGTCTGGCGCGAGCTGAGTCAGTTCCACAGTTGCTTCTGAATGGCCAAACGAATCCGTGAGTACAACACCTAAGCCGAAGGCTTGACACGCCCCATGTCAAACAGTTGCTCCATTCACGTCAACAGCGATAGCAATGCTTGATTCACAGCCTCAGTCTCAGCTTGTTCTTGGTTGACAAACGTTGCGCAAACTCGCTACACAGTCATCTTTAGCTGAAATTGTGTTGCATGCTGAGGATCACACGTGTCATTGTGGGCCCTTACTAGGAATCCCTACCGTGGTTGCCTAGAATCCCTGTTAAGGGGTTGATGGGTTGATCACTATCCCCGCCATCTTTTCACCATGGCACACACCCACACACCCACACGCTGAGTGGTACCAATGAATGATCGCTTGATGTATTTGGAGAACTGGCCACCCGCATTCATAACGCGAGCCAAGCTAACCTTTTTGGCGAAGTGAGGGAACATGTCGCTTTTGCAGCCTTTCACATGACAGAGGGGTTCGAGCTTCCAATCTGGTTGCCTGATGCGCACTTTGCCATCAAGGGGATATCTGTGTGTGTGTGTGTGTTTTGCTACGGGTATCATTTTTAGGCGGGGGCTTTCAAGGTGAACTCAGGTGAACCAAAGCAACAACCACCATTTTGGGTTCCCTTATTTGATGACAGCCCCACGCGCCTCAGGCAGCTCTGGTGGAATCTCCAGATCGATTTTGTCGAGGTTGTCCGTGGCCTCTGGCAATCTCTCCGCATAGACCTGGGGAACTGCTTCATGTGAACATGTCGTAACTTGGTGGCTATTGCCTCCTACGCAAAAAGTTCAACTTTCTGTGGCTGAGTGAGAAAATACACATTTTCTCCAAGAGTTAAAGGTCAAAGGTCCTACCAAATAGCACCCAGGGTAAGGGTTACATACAGAGTCAAAGGGGGCCAATTTCGATGAGTTGAAATAGCTGCGGCACTCTGACAGCTTGGTGCGACTGCCAAATGCCGCGAACTGCCGGGTCATCCCGGAGCGAGATCTGAGACGGGCGCTGTTCGACCCTTGGTCCTGAGGTGATGCCATGGGTCAAAAGCCAAATCGTACCAAGTGAACATCCCAATCCAACCACTAAAATAGGTTCTAAAATGAGTGGTGAATTCACCTACCCCAAAATGGTACCATTGGTTTTGACCCACAGCCATATCAGTCACTGGATTTCGACTTCAGAAGTTGCAGTTTACTGGTGGCTTCCCATGACACTGCCGCTTTTGTAGGTCCAAAAAAGGGGGAAATTTGAGAGAACATGAGGGAACCAACGCTGTAAACCAAAGCCGAGCATATCAGCTGAAGGCTTCAACTACAGCAGCTCACGCCGGACGGGCCTGAATTCACTTGTGCACTGTCTAAGGCAAACCCCGTCCTCATGATGAACTTTTTGGGCGCGCTGCCAATCCTATCAGAGACACAACAGCAAAATCGTTCTCGCTTGCATCTAGCTCTATCGAGGTCCACTTGACCAAGACCCAAAGTCTGACAATCAAGACCTTTCAACAGTTCGTCAAGAAGTTGAAAGCTGTTGTCCAAGGCCTTCGATTCGACTTTCCAAAGCCTTCGATTTGATTCCGTACTAACTAGCCAAAGCCTTCAATTCGATTCCATACTAAGGCGCCCACGGCCAAGGATCCCCGCCAGGGTTGGTCAACAACGGGGTTGCCTGACAGCAAACGAATCACTTGCTGATATGGCTTCAAGCCGTGCTTTTGCGTGGCCATTGTGAATTTGATTGAACCTTTTGTGGACATCTTTTGCGTGTGGAACTATGTCCGCCAACCACTTGTTTTAGAGTATTATCCAGTTAAAATAATGCCCACGTATTGAGCCGCAAACTTGCCATGCCTTTGGCAAATCGCGGTGCTCATCGACGTAGCTCACAGTCGGTGCCTGGACAAATCGGCGCACAAATAGGAGAAAACACGCAGGAGCCCCGGAGAATATCATGTCTATCTTCAATGGATCAAGGATTTCGAAATATAAAACTAACAATGATCCACTGAGCTGATTCTTCGGAGTCAGCATGGACAACAGTCAATATGCGGTGCAGGAGTTCCTGCACAGCCTTCAATCTACCAGTTGCCAACTCAACTCAACTCGCCAAAGTGCCAAGCAGTCAGGAAGAATACATTCTCAAAAAGCACTCTGACCAGTTGTCAACAAAGTTGTGGAACACCTACCCACCCAAACTCGTGTCAATCAATCCCAGTGAGCTTAAAAATAAAACCCGTATTAAAACTCTTATCTCAAGTACGTGTTCATTGCAAATCCAAGCGGCGGTCTTCATAAGCATGCGGTCCGGCAAAAGCATGCCCCTTCAAGTGTATGAGGTCTCATGTGTATACAACGCTGCAATTTTCCGCTAACAAATTCACTTGGCAACAAATGCTGGGATCTGCAGAGAAAAGACAATGCAAAACACAGAAATGGGCCACTTCTGCTCCAAGCAGTTTGGGGGCATCTGCGGGCTGCGCGCGACTTGCGCGGGACTTGCGCGAAAACTTGTTAATCTTTCGGCCATGGTGATGATGATGATCATCATCATCATGATGAATCATCACTGCGTCACTTGTGCTTCACTTGCGCTGTACTTGGGCTGTACTTGCGCAGCCCTATGTTTGACTTGCGCGGCCGCTCCTGCAACACACTCCTGCCCTTCAAATTGCAAGCGGCGGCGCAGCTGACTTGATACGTCCCAAACAACTGGGACCATGCCTTACATTGAAACAACGGGCTGTCTTTTTCGGCTCACTCTCAATCTCGCAGCTACTGAAAGCGTCCTTGTCTCTGTCACACCTATTCGCCTGGCAGCACTTTCCACGGCCCAGTTCGCTGCACTTGCCATCGTTTGCTTTGCCGAAGTGTTCGCCGCCTTTCGGACGTTGCCAGCACACTGCCATGCGACCACTCCGCATGGATCCCCATTGACGCAAAGCCTTCTCCGATTTCCACCCCCAATTGGGATCCGCGTACCCTCCCCATTCATGTGTGACCTGGAAGCGGAAACATGTATTGCAAATGACTCTTTATTGGGGTATGGCCCCCATTTGCATACGTTGCTTAAGGGGTGCGGATCTTCTCTACCTTCTCTACCCTGGGCCCGTCCTCCATATGGAGCTTTTCATTCTTGGCCTTCGGCTGAGTCGCTGCCTGCCACGACCATTCACTTCATCACATCCAAACATGCTGTGCAAGTATTGCTCAGCCCCAGCGCGGACACGGTGCCAGTGTCATTCCCAGGGCACAATAGAAAGGCAAATTACATTTACTGGGCTGAGCAATGAAAGACACAGTCTGCAGCATGAACAAAGACTTTTCAATAGTCACCATGTACCATCAGCATAAAACACAAGCTCTGAATGGCAAGAAGGCTCAAGGAGGGCGAGTTGTGTAATTTCGGAGTCCCTGACCCGTCGTGCGTTTGGTCAACTGTCTGTCTTGCTGTTTGAGTCATGCACTGTGAGCCGGGTTCTTGTTGCGGCAAAAACAAACAAAAGCAATCTGTCTAAACATCAGGCCGCTTTGTTTAATGGTTCTGCGATGGCCCATGTTGGCTGTATGAGGGGGGCCTCTTCCTGGACTTCCCTCCTGGAGCACCAAATCCGATCTGCTTATGGCCTGGCCTGGCCCTTGAAAAGCATGGCACCAAAGCGCGCGTCGATCTCCAAGTCTCGGACAGCCATCAACGACAATCTGCTGCCCTCTTGCCGACACGCTGCTCAAAGGCCTTTTATCCACTTCTATGATGGTAGCAGGCTGCAAAACACAGAGTTGGCGGGCCAATCATTGAATCCCCTTCAGGTGTGGAGGGCCAGCTGGATGAGCCCAAATGATGCTTCCCCAACCCGTCGTCCTCCGCAAACCAGACGTAGACTTCCAAACATATTGCCAGCTGCTCACATCAACATGCCCACGGGTTTTATAAGTTCTTGTGACTCTTCGGAGAGCTGTGCTGGTCGACTTGGGCAAAAAAAACAAATGGAAGTCCAGGGCTACCTTCGGTTGGGATCCGAAGCCAAGTCAGCACCTCGCAATCTGTGTATTGTTTCAAGGGCGCCCTTGTTGGGTGCTTTCAACTGCAAGCCAAGAGGCAACCATCAAAGCCACCCTTTGACTGAGGCTAGAGCTCAGCTCCTTGGCTTGGTGTTGGAACCTGCGAGCGGATGCAAAGTGCAGCACAATCCCATCCGCCAAACGAACTGAGCAGTGCCAAACACCCATTGACTCTTGGTGCTACATTGCGTTGTTTGTTCAATTGAAGCTTAGAAGGAACATTCGTGTTACGCACACTAATTGGAAGGTAGTCTTGCGCACAGGTAAGATCAAGAAACACATCTAGCATGCGTGGGCGTGGCGGGTGAATAGAAATCGCGGAAACACAGTGACCCTCTGCGGGTTTTGGCGTCGCGGGCGGGGTGAAAGCTTCCTCGGTCGCGACTCCTGACGGACGACGGTCTCGGAAAGGGTTCGGAACGGGCACGCAGCTGGGCCCATTGGCACGGGACGCACACTTTGCGTGACGGGCGCAGCACTTTGGCAACCTGAGGTACAGGTTGCGTGGCAGGCGCAGCGCTTTGGCAATGCTGCCACGAACTCGCCGTCAATCTGATTGGCACGGACGTGTAAACTATGGTGGCAGGCGCAGCACTTTCACAAGATCAGGTACCGGTTTCCTGGAAGACACTGCGCTTCCATGAGATCTATGAGCCATTACATGTCTAGCTAGATAGATTAGTAAGTATCTAGGTAGATTCAAATAGAGTAGACATGATAGGATTACATTAGATAAACAGAGAGTGCGTTTATACTGCGAGATAATAAGAAGACAAATAGATGGATGGACAAATAGATCGATTGATAGATCGAAGGATAGATGGACAGGCCTACGGATAGATAGATGGAGTAGATAGATATAGCTAGACAGGTTGACAAACAGACAAATGGAAGAGAGATACTTACCATAACCATCAAAAGACGAAGAAGCAGAACCGCATGCTCAAATGGCGAATGTGCGTTTTGGGCGCTGCTCAATTTGGAGCTTCTCTATGGTGGTCTTGAGCAACCGACGGCAAATTTTCCGGACGTTCGCATCGATCCTTTCACACGATCCTGAGGCTCACGCTCAACGAAGCGGCTGAACATCGGAGGGCTCCACTCCCCCAAATTCCCCAAAGCCTCGGAGCAATGTGGCCGTCCGTCTTTTGGCACCACTGGCTTGCTTTCAAGGAAGCCAACCGAAAACACACGCCCACCAGTCAAAAAAAATGGGGTCCCCGTGTTGTAAGAAACAAGCATGTTGGCTGGTCAGTGAACACAGGCGGGCCAAGCCCTTGCTTGACGATGTTTACACAACGATTGCTTCAACTTTGAAGGAATACCAGGGTCTGGTGGTTCGACACTATTTTGTACAGCACCCTGGTCATGACAACTGTGCAAATCGCTAACTCACTTGACTCCCAGAAGCCAATGGGGAACAAAGAGCACTCCTTCCCAAACGCTTCAGGTAGGTTGGCCCCGTGCGCATTTGGGTTCATGAGCTTGCAAAGGCCAGGCTGGCACAAAAGGGCCGCCAACTGCAAGCTTGCAAAGCGCAATGTTTCTGGCATCCCAATAGATATCCAAGGCATCCGGTGAGTTTTGCTATCATGCTTCGGACCTGCGCCTCAAGTCTGTTCTTTTGAGTCATGAGATTCACGCAAAACGGTAGCCTATGGCCAATCATCCTTTCCAGGGAATGCGTATTCTGACCATGGCACATGTGTGGAAGGACACACGCACCAGAATTCTCCTTTCAGTCCCAAATCGTCCGTGGATCTGAAATCTCTCTCTCTCTCTCTCTCTCTCTCTATTGCGCCCCAATATTTTCAGGAACTTGTGACTGCGATGATACATGCCCTTTGTCTCGCAAACAGTCTACACTAAGGGGTTCTTATTCAAGTGCTAAGGCTGCTCGATCAGTGTGCTCCGTTTGGGCATTTCGTCTGCGCAGGCTCGCAGAGAAGTTCGCTTGTGAGATGCTCATAATATTCATTTCGACTGCGCAGGCTCGTGCAAAGTGCGTGGCCGGCCGAGGCGTCTTTTGAGGGCGCGCTCTCGCCGTAGTGCCGTGTAAATTCCGGATATTGTGGTCGCATCAATCATTTCAAAGCAAAATCCCTTCCATCCACCGGTGTAACCCGTGTTGGCACCCAGTTTGGCTTCGATGAAGATCAGCGCCCGGCGCCGCGGCAGTGCTTGGCCTCCACCGCAAAGACGTAGCCGGCACCTGTAGCAGTGGCCACCACCTGAGCGCGGCCGGGGCTGCCAATTCTCTCGCCCGTGCGACAGGCAGGGAATGTGGGAATGAACGTGGGGATTTCCTGAAAGGAAACCACAAGGGATGGTTTAAAAGGGTCATTTCCTCATTCCCTGCTGCGCACCAGCGAGTTCTTTTGGTGGTGGATTTGGGTCCAAATCAGCAATTGACACAAGGGCGGCACTGTTGTGTCTGGGAAAGCTGGCTCTGCGCGTGAAAGATTGGTTGCGAGGGCACAAAGGTTGTTCTGGCTTCGACCATTTGGCTGTGGGGAGTGCTTTGAGGCGCGGTACCCTTTTTGGGTCGGAAAAAAAGGGGAAGTAAACACCCACTTTCCTCTAAAGGGGATCCTGGTTGGCTCCATGTTGGAAGGTAATTTGGGCCAACTTCACATGCAACCCAGGCCTCATGTTGGCCGTAGAAGTGATCCGGATGCTTTTGAACTGGGACCGCCCCAATCGAGAGGTCTGAAGTCTGGTTTTCATGGGCAATTTCGGTGGGCCCCTTTTCTTGTCCGCCCCAAGCTAACAATAGACACCAGCAATTGTTGTGTCCATTGCTCATGCGGCATATCCCTGCCTTTTCACCACTAGCCACACACCTGACCAATTGTTTTGGCGGACTAGCCTAACATCATGTTCAAAGCGCAACAACAAAGTCACTCTGTGCATCCAAGCCGCACTTACCTCAGCCTCTAGATTCCGAGGCAGCTCGCCCTTGCTGCCCTGAGACGAGGGACACAGGAAAGAAAGGCATTAGACAGAGCTACCGCCTTGCAGGAAAAGCATAGATCCATGGTTGTGCATCGATTGAACTACGAGCATAGTTGCCAGGAAGCTGCATGCGTAACTTAGTCTGTTGGAAAAACTTCTACATGTTTTGACCGGTTGAAAGTGAACATGATGGAAACCCAAACGGCAAGAGGTTAAAAAGGCAAGGTACGTCTGGCAACAAAGCATGGAGCCACAGTTAGACTTGATCGCGAGCAGTATGGCAACCCGGTGCATGAGCAGCTTTGGTCTTTCACTCGTATATCTGCCGTGGTCAAATTCCTTGTGCCGGTCATGGTCTTCGGTCGCCTTGACAAGAATCCTGATCATGGTTGTCTAAATGGCTATTAGGAGAAATTAAAAGATTCATGACCATCCCAACCAACCCCAAGTAATCAGGTGTTCGTGACCATTGCACACTGCCATGAAAGCCAAGCTGGCGGCCGGTCGTGCAGGTGGATCGCATGGCTGAATGTGGGCCTGGGCGCAGGAAGTACTTTCAGAACAAACATTGGGGGCACGCCTCAACCAAAGGCCGGAAGGGCCCTAGAGGGGCCCGTTGGGGGGCCGAACGAAGGACCATCCCCATCGCTTAGCAAAGGGAAAACACTGGAAACCGAAGGAAACCAAACGAAATTACAAAAGACACCGGGTCACCGATGTTCCCTTGTGGCTTGGTTGCTGAGAGGTTCAGATCAACTCTTGTTTGACCATCTCAGGCTGGGAGCAGCCACAAATCGAGACGTGGTCTTGCCAAGCCACAAAGCTGTCCGGGACAAACAAGCTTAAAGACCACTGACGGAAGGGAGCAATCCCACTAATCCATTGTGGATGGTTTCTTTCCATGTCAGGCAAAGCGTGCATTCCGCTTTCAGGAAGCCACGCCCAGTACCTTCCAGTGAAACCATAGCAAACAAGCCAAGACCATTCGAACATGTAACCACTCACATATCCCGGGATCCTCTGAGCCTTGAGTTGAGCCCCAAAGGTAGAGAGGTTCCTGACCGATTGGTTTGGGTCTCGGCCCGACTTGGCTCCCGGGCGATGACCTCTGCTGTGTCCTGGCTGTTCGGCCTCGGAAGTCGGCTCCGACGCTCCGAGCGATGGCGTCCCTCGGTGGGATCCAACCAGCTAAGACTCTCAGCCAAACAAATGACACTCATTCCCGGACCTTCCATTGTTAATATAAAGCTATGTCAAGAGAAGAAAAAAAGCTCGGGCCATTTTTGCCCAATGATCCAACAAGTGCTCGTTCCCAAAACAGAAGCTCGTTTCGTGAAAACGGGCTTCTTGCAAAATACAAATTGTTACATGATTCAGATTTGCGTTCGTGTTGCGGGTATTTGCGCTCGTTTTGCGGGTACTTGCGCCCGTTTTGCGGGTTTGTATGTCCACATGTTTCCATCACAACGGACTACATGAGGAGAGGGGGGCCGCCGCAACAGCTAAGAATGCTCGAATTCAAGTTTGCGCCCGTTGCCCCGAAAAACGTGCGACTAGCAAGTTTCTGCTACGAAACAGCCAAGGGGCACAAGCTTATGTCAAACGAAGGTCCAGGTGATCTTTTGATGACTCAAACTGCTCATGAAGTCCCGGAAAAAAAAAGAAGAACAACAAAAGCGCATTCACTTCGGCCCTGGAAATCCAATTGTGATACATGGGGATTGCTTGGAAGCAGGCTGGATGCAGCGTGGTCGTGCCCGTGCCACTGGGCTGGACTCCGGTAGCAGCGGTCGTACCTTACACGCAGCTTTGGTCTCGCAAGGTCTGACGATTCATGCCGTGGGTCAACAATAGGGTAGCCCCAAAATGGCTTGCCCTGATAAATGGAAACATGGGCTAAAACCTGCGCCCTGGTGGTTGAATTTTGACCCATACCGTCATTCCCATATACTGCGTGTACGTCTGCAAGACCAAGTCATCAAACAAAACGCCTGGCATTGATTCGGCCACGTGCGCTTTGAGTCGCTGCCGCATACGTCCAGATCGGCTGTGGCCCGCACAATGCGAGGTGCTGAGGTCTCATCCACCTCGCAGCACATAGGAAGCCAAGTAAACAATACCCCGGACACAAATTGAAACCCAGGCGCAGGGGATAAGCAAGATTCTACACATGGCTTGTTGGGTTCCATGTTTATCCGCAGAGCTTCTCATTGAACTAAAGTCAGAAAGACTCCTCCCTCCCCTTTCCAGCCTGCGCTGCGACGCCAGGAAAGCTGCTGCTGGTTACAAAGCTTTGCACACCAACAATAGGTGGCAGCCTCGGCTTAGCTTCGAAGGATGTGGCTATCAACTCACTTCCTGAGTGGACTGGCCAAACTTGTTGTTTGCCGCTGAAATAATGTTCTCAAAAGTATAACGTCCTTGAACTCAATGTTCTGTGGTCGGTCGAACAAAGTTATGTCACTTTTGCAGTGGCCTTTCCTTTCCCACGTCAGTAGTTTATAGTTTGCTGATGTTTGCTGTGCAATAGGCATCATTCGGTTTGCGAAGCTACAACTGCTTGTCCACGCCTCATGGTAAAGCTCTAACATCCAGTTCAGTGTCTGTGTTCTTAGAGGACCCCTTCTTAGTAGGTGTTGAAGGAAAACCAAAAAAGAAACCTCGCCAATTTGGTGGTCATTTCGTGGCTGGCTGGCTCCTCTCGGCTTCCACTCGGCTCCCCGGCCCCTTTTCCCTGGCCGCTGCCTTCTTGCGTTGCTCCGGGCTCAGGGTCCACATTAGGATCCGGTACTCCACTTCTTGCATGCGACCTGCAACGTCTCTGTGCGGCTGTTGCAAGCTTTGCCTCAAACAGTCATGTTGTTCCTTTTGTAGACATGTCCGCAGCGAACGGATGGGATTTGATGAAGGCAAATCTCGTCTCTAATACTTTGTCCTTTCCTTACGCCTGGGGTTGTCTTTCCCATCTGCAAGCAACCTCAGAAGCGAATAGATGGGCAAGGGAAGACAGAGTGCTGACATGTGTCAGCTTCAGCTAGAACAGCTCCCCTTGATATCATTCCTTCTGGACAAGCTCTTCCACATCTAAATATTAAATACTGCGCGCATTCCTGAAGACTTCCAATATTCCGGGCATGATCTTCCTTACAAAGGAAATAACGAAAAGAGGCTTTCATTGAGATGTCATTGGCCAGCGTGAGGTCTTTGCCTATTTATCTTCCCTTTTCCGCAGATACGAACAGGCAAATGGAGACACTGAGATATTTCTGGTCTGAAAATGCTTCCTCCGGTTGTCTACACTTTCTGCGCCGTTGGAAGCACCAATCCTGATGTTACTGGCCAGGCCACGTCAACTTCAATACTGAGCCGCACTGATCATGCGCTTCTGTTCGAACCATGTTGGCACTCCCT